ATTGACATTGATACAATCTACTGATTTTATTCAGGGTTCCCCAGTTTTACTTGTTCTCGTGTGTGTGTGTGTGTGTGTGTGTGTGTGTGTGCATGTATGTTAAATTCTGTGCAATTTTATCACACTTTCTGTTCATGTATGGCAACACTTTTTAAATGATTTGTCCAAACATGGGCTTCCCATGATTTTCAGGGTCCTGGCTAAGTTTGCTTCCACACTAATCAAAAAGTAAGGATTGATTAAGCAAGTGGATAAAGTAAACGGGATTAAAAGCAGGAGGGAATGTCTAACCAATTTAAGGACAAGCTGTTTTTGATGCCAGCTCTCAGACACTGGTCAGTGGCATCTTAGCCATGTCTGGACCCTGTTTCCTCACTCAAAGGGGCCTTTCCACTCTGATGCTTGTTTTCTGGTCAAACCCCAAAAGTGAAGCATCCTTGAACTTTTGGAGACCCGTCCGTCTCTCTTGCGTGTCTCTGCCCTCTCGGTAGTTCTCTCTCTCCCCATCCCCAGCAGCACCTTCACTCAAAACACCACCCCCCAGGAACCGAAAACAGGGAACCCGAGAGCATGTATTGGTGGTTCTGTTGCATTCCCATGTTTGTGATAATTTACCAGGCAGATCAACTCCAGCCAGAAAATCTGATACTGAGGTTCTGGCTTCATCTGTGTGGAATCTGAGCTCGTCTCTGAGGGAGGACCTGGGTGGGAAAAGCTGGAAGACCGGGGTGGTGCGACAGGACTGCAGGTTGGGAAGAGGTGGAGGGCAAGCTGTATGCAGAAGGCTACAAGAAAGAGCTCAACCCCCAGGACCACTTAATGACTTCCTACGCCTTTCACTCAGGCACTGTGGCCGAATACGTAATCCTGAAGTTTAACCTAGAAAACCTCTTCCAAACCTTCTCTTCGGGTGAGCAGCTGGTCTCCATTTGGGAGGAAGTAGGGGACCACACCTGACAGGAAGTGCAGGATGGTGGCAGGAGGCCCCATCCTCTGGGCCACTGCTCACCAAGGATGCTGCAAAGGCGACCTCATTGCGGCTTTGCTGTCGGCCTGTGGACCCATGAAGGCCTCTGCTGGTGGCAGCTTGGGGGTGGGGAGGCGCAGAGCACTGGCCTTGGAGGACAAAGAATGAGGCTTGAGTTTGTGACGGTCGGACTCAGTCTCTTCACCCATAAAATAGGGAGGGTAACCCCAGACCTGTGGGGCTCCCTGTGGGGCTCACGTGCTCACACTGAGGGAAAACGAGAGAACAGACATGAGCATACGATCTGTTGTCTGTCTCTGCAGCTCCCTTGCCGAGAGGGCTGAAAGCCAGGCTTTGTAGCCTTTCTGAGCTCCTGAATCCCTCTGATAATCTGGTGAAAGTTCTTGTATACACACACGCACACACACACACACACACTCACTCACTCACTCACTCACTCACTCACTCGCTCACTCACTCACTCATCAATTTTTACACAAAATTGAGAGAGTTCATGAATACCCAAAGCCAGAGCTCAGAGCTCGGTCCACTAATCTCTGCTCTGGGACATCAGGATTGGGTGAGGCAATAGATATTATTGCCCAAGTTCCTCAGTTCACACAAGGGGAGACTGAGGCTCAGGATGGGGGAGGGGTGTAGGAAGAGGGGTAGCCGGCCCAGATCAGACAGCCAATCAGTAGCTACAGCAAGACTAAAGCTCAGGTGATTTGGGGCTGTCATGCACAGTTGGGCAGGATGTACACTGCACAACTCTAGAGGTTGTTCAGTCACTCAAGAAAAACTTGCTTAATTATGTAATCAGTGCCAAGAAAGGTCTCTCAAACAACATCCACAGGAATACAGAGGAAAGGAAGCTTAATGCTCCCAGAGAAATCTGAGATGTCCAGGAGTGAGAACATTGGCACTGGGCCTTAACAGATGACAGGTGGGTTTTAATAGAGAATGAAGAGGGAGGAAGGAGGAATTGGAGCGCAGTGCACTGAGTGTTACCTCTCTGCTCTGTCTCAGCACCACATCCCCTTGCCTTCCCTGATTGGCTGAGCCAGTTATGAACCCACTGGCTCAGTTTTCAGGCAGTTTTCAGCCTTCACTCAAGCCTCTGTCTCTGTGTCACTTTCCCCATTGTTTCAAATCCAGAAGCAGAACACCGTTGGAGAGAAACCAGTTTCTACCGGGAAGTCAACCCTGAACCTGTCCAGAAATGCAGAACATATTCTCCCAGTCCCCCCGTAGCAACCCTTGCATGGCAGGGGGAATTTGGTGTGTGTGCCAGTGTGAGCCCCAGCATCACTCACCGGAGCCCCTGGTACAGCCCCAAGGCTGCCCAAAGGCACGCTCGGGTCCCCTCTTCACCACCCTCCTCAGAGGGCACACCCTGGGAAGGGGAGGGCTTGGCTCTTCTCCATCTGCCACAGCTGGGCGTGGAGTTGGGGTGCCCCCTACAGACCTGGCCAGTGCTGTCTCCTGCAGAAGAAGCAGGGGGTGACATCCTGATTGACACTGGCACAAGCCCCACCATCTACCAAATGCTCTTGGCTGGTGAGGCCTTCCGGGAGATCATCACCATGGAGTATGCTGAGCAGAACCAGCAGGAGCTGGAGAAGTGGCTCAGGAAGGACCTGGGGCCTACGACCAGTCCCCAGTCATGCAATGCGTGTGTGAGCTGGAGGGAGACAGGTACTGTCAGGCTGCCTGCCGCTCTGCTTCTCGTTCAAGTCCACCACCACCTCGCCTGCCATCTCCCGACACTGTCCTCCTGACCCCTGTTGTTCCCATCAGCCTGTGTGCCCCTCCCTCTGAGTCAGTCCCACCTCCAGCCTTAGAGCTGCCCTGTGCTTCTGTTGCCCTACCCTGCTCTCTACTTCTTTGCATCCCAGCCATCCTGCGGAGCCAGCTTCAGTCTCACTTCCTCTTGGAAGCCTCCCGTCATTGCTCCAGACCACACAGACCTCACTTTCCTCTGAAAACTAGTGGTTCAGCTTCCCCTTTAATCTAATGTCAGGGGGTGGGAGACACACTTATGCAATTGGGGAGGCTGCGGGGAAACCCCACACTTGTCCCATCAGGGCTGGGCCCATCCCACAGACTGACAGTGTTGACCCCCTCTAGGCACCTTCTCCATCCTGGTTCACAGAGAGCAAATGAATGTGCTGGAGCCCCGGAGGGGACAGCAATCTGACCCCGATCCCACAGCTGAGGAAACTGAGGCCCTGGCCTGGACAGTGGCCTCTTCTTCACCTCAGAGCAGGACAGACTGGAATTTAAGTTTCCTGCCCTAACCTTGGCCATGGGAGCCTGACCCAGGCCCTGGTAGGGCAGCCTGAAGCAGGACGGGTGGTCTCTCAGCACAGGGTCCTGGAAGTCAGCCCAGCCCAGGCCTTGCTCCTTCCTGCCCCAACTCAAGGAGCACGTCCTGAGGATCAGGCTGTTCTAGACACTGCGACAGCGCAGTGAACAGGACCAGCCACACCCCCAGAGCTCATATTCTAGTGGGGTGGGCAGCAACAGCGAGACGACAGAGACAGACATTCAGGCAGGAGCGAGCGTTTCAGGGGAGACTTCCACTGGGCAGGGGCTGGAGAGAGGCCGAGGTGCTGTGTTAGGTGGGACGGTGAGAGAAGGCCTCTCCACAGGGAGCTCGAGAGGCTTTAATTATGTAATTGACCCTTTTCTCACTGAACTAAAATGCCACAAATTACCGGCTCTATTAATTTCAAAAATTAAAGGGCCAGAGACCCCGGGAGTGAGTGTCAGGCAGTGGGGACAGAAAAGGCTCTGCGGTGGGAATGAGATGCCCGTGTGTCGTGGACCAGTGAGAAGGCCACTGAGCACGGCGCAGAGTGAAGAGGAGACAGTCAGGTGTCACAGAGGGAGGCCCCACCACACATGTGCCGTGGGCCTGCCGTGAGGAGTGCGGGCAGGCACTAGACAAGGGCGCGGCACCATAGGATCTACGTTTTTAAAGAACCGCTCACCACCCAGGGCTGAGGACAGCCTCAGAGGCAAGTGCAGAACCAGACAGAGCAGGAGGAGGTGGTGGCCGTCCTGCAGGGCAGAGCCAGGGCTGGCTGTAACCAGGTGAGAGCCGTGGAAGGGATGGGGGTGTCCGGAGTCTAGAAGGCTTTGCAGGCAGAGCCAGCCGGATTCACGATGGTTTGGCCGTGGGGGGAAGTGAAGAGCTGAGGGTGACTCCGAGGTTTTCGGCTAGAGCCATGGGAAAGATGGAGTTGTCAGTTCTGGGAAAGAGAAGACTTGGGAGGGGCGGGATAGGGCAGCAGATGAGATGTCTCAGCCTGGGCCATGTGGCCAGAGTTGCCTGTTTGACACCAAAGTGGAGATGCCCATGGAGCATCTGGACATGCGTGTGTGCAACTCTGCAGAGACTCCAGGGCCCAGACCTTCCCCTGGAGCCATCGGTGGACGGCTGAGACCGTGGAGTGGCTAAGGGCAGATGGGGAGGAGATGCCATGTCTCAAGGCCAGGCAGAGGAGGAGGCTGAGAGAAGGTGACCATGAGCATGTGGCACCCCATGGAGCCAAGCAGAGAACGCACTTCAAGAAGCAAGGAGCTATGCCAAGCGAAACATGCCAGGCACAAAAGGACAAATGCTGCATGCGAAATAACGAGACCAGGCAGATTCACGGAGACGGAAAGTGGATTAGTGGCCACAGGGCTGTGAGGAGGGGGCTGGGGCCGGGGCTATCTTTTAGTGAGTACACAGTTTCTATATGGGGTGATGAAAAAGTTTTGGAAATAGTGGGGAAAGCTGTACCACATGGTGAGTGCAATTAATGTGACCGAACTGTACACTTAAAAACCATCAAAATAACAAATGTTGTATATCGTACAACCTAAAAAATTTGATAATGTAACATAAGAGAAACTATTTAATTGTTAAAAAGAAGGAAGTGGAAGAGGAGAAGGAGGAGGGCATAATCAAATATCAAATCCACTGTCGCTTACAGCTGTGTAGACTTAAGCAAGTCTTTGCCTCAGTTTCCTCATCCGTATAATGGGGGAAGTAATATTTCCCTCAAAGAGTTGCTGCACAGGTTAAGTGACAGGCATTTCCCAGAGGAAGCACTCTGGATGGCCACAGAGGTTGGCGGGGGGGGGGGGGGGGGGGG